ACTGCAAGATCCAAAGGAGGAATAAAGCAGGCTCACCCTCACCCGGCAGCGCCGGGACGGGCCCCGGGGGTCCCAAATCCCCCGGCCCGCGGTGGGTGATGCCCGCGAGTGCCCCTCGAGCACCGGGAGGGTCAAAGCCCCCAGAGCCGTACCTGGGGTGCCCAGCGCTGCCTCCTCCTCGCCGGCAGCCCCGGGCTGGCCCCGCTCCGCTAATGAACAGCGACAGCTGCCCAAGGAGCAAAATAGCGCCCAATCGCTGCTGCCCCGGGAGCGCGGCTCGGCCCCGGGCAGGGGAGCTCCCCCGGGCTCCAAAGGGCACCGGGATGGGGCTCGTCCCTCTGGGAGCGTCCCTGGGGTCTCTGAGCCGGCTGTGGGATGGAGGGATGCAGAGGTGGGTCAGAGACCTGCCAGGCACGGGGGAGATGGAGAGAGAGGAGGAGAAATCCCTTGGGAGCAGCAGGGCTCAGACAACCCTGGGGAAAACCTCCGGCCCCTGCCGTGTCCCTGTTCCTGCAGCCACGTCCCCAGGGAGCCCTGACACAGCCACGGACCGGTGGGAGGGGGGACGTCCCGTCCCACCCATTCCCAGGATGGAGCCAGGACACAAAGCATCTCATCCAGGAGCTGCAAAGGACTCTCCAGAACTCTGAGCCCCTGTTTGCCCCCCAGGCCGGGGGCTCTGAGCCAGCTGTGGGAGGGATGGAGGGAGGGATGGATGGATGGATGGATGGAGGTGCTGGGGATGTAGAGGTGGATCAGAAACCTGACAGACACAGGGAAGACGGAGAGAGGAGGAGGAGAAATCCCCTGGGACCAGCAGGGCTCACACAACCCTGGGGAAAACCAGTTTTTGCCCTCCAGCCCCTCTGATATCCCTGTTCCTGCAGCCACATCCCCGGGAGCCACAGCCACAGGCAGGTGAGGAGGGGGACGTCCCATCCCACCCATTCCCAGGAGATGAAACATCTCCTCTGGGGAGCTGCAAAGGCCCCCTGGGCTCTGGCCCTGCCTGTGGGAGGTTCCCAGAGCCCCAGCTCGGCACAGGCAGGAACAGCCAGGGCAGGAGCCCCTGTGCCAGGGATGTGGTGCAGCAGTGACTGCTCCGAGGGTGGGACATTCTGGGTGGATCCTGCTTTGGGGACATGGAGCTGATGTTTTAAAAAGGCTTCATGTTTAAAAAAACCCCGATCCTGAGGTTGTGGTGTCCCACACCTGCAATATTGACCTTTTCCTCCAGCTCAGGTGGAAAAGGCCCTTGACTGCAAGATCCAAAGGAGGAATAAAGCAGGCACTGCCTCTCCCAGGGCTCTGCCGAGGTTGGGTCACGGCCCTGCTTTAGGACCAGGACCAGCTCCAGGAGCTCAGGAGCAGCCTCAGCCTCCTGCTTCCCTGGCAGGGACAGGGCTGGGCACTGCTGTGGGATAAACAATGTGCCCTGGAAGGTGGCAGGAT